TTTTTTTTTTTTTGAAGTGACACTGACAAGATTTGCCCACGGTTTAGAAGGGAGTGGGGGATACGAAGTAAACTGCCAGCTGAGATAGAAGTTTGTCAGTTAGGTATGAATTTCAGATAAACCGTGAACAATTTCTTAGTGTGAGCATATCACTGGCAGCACTGGGGAACAGACTTGGCCAGGGAAGCTTGAAAACCTAACGGTGCGGTCACCCACCGCAGAGCAAGTGAATCAGGGCGTCTGGAGATGTGTAGCCTGGGTTGGGAACTTCTAGAAGGGAGGCCAAGAGGGGAGGAAGCTGGTGGCTGCAGGAGGGGAAGATTTGGAGCCTCTTAGCCCCTAGGCTAGGGTGCTGTCACTGAGGAAGTTTGCATGCACTCTACTCTCAGAATTATTTTTTTTTTATGTTTATTTTTGAGAGAGAGAGCCCAAGCGAGTGAGGAGCAGAGAGAGACAGAAACACGGAATCCAAAGCAAGCTCCAGGCTACGAGCTGTCAGCACAGAGCTGTGACGCGGGGCTGGAACTCACGAGCTGTGAGATCATGACCTGAGCCGAAGTCGGACGCTCAACTGACTGAGCCACCCAGGCGCCCCCACTCTCAGAATTTTTAATATATGTCATTTTCTTTCCTACCAAATTTATCATTAAATTCTAAAAGCTAATTGTGTAGGTGAGTCTTCTGCAGATTTGACCCTGTCGAATGGCTTTTTCAGTGGGCGTTTTAAAACAACTGAACCTACTGGAAAATAGAGACCTTAAAAACTCTCTGAGTCAGGAGAAGTAGATTAACTGGCACTAGTGTTTTCCCCATCAGTCTTTTTCCTTTCCGTCTGATTTCGTTTAAAAGTAGGAATCTGTTATAAGAGAGGTGGGAGGCGCTGTCACCCACAAGGCCTAAAGTGGCACTCACCGGCCACCGCCTCAGCCACCTGCTTAGCCCAGCCCGAGAGCCTCAGGTCCAGGCTCTGGCTCACTGGTCTCAAAATCCGCTGCATTGAGCAGCCCTGACTGTTTCAGCAGATGCCCTGGGGTGTGTGCAAGGTCAGGCACCTAGAGTGGGGAGAATAATGTTGCCATCTTCCTAACTGCCCCAATGGCACAGCATGCTGGCACTTTCTACAGCATAGAGGGGCCAAGTGGCTATGGCCTGGTGACCCTGGGCAGGTGATTTCCTGTGTGAGGCTCTGTTTCCTCCTCCTTAAGTGGAGACAGAGATACTATCTACTCCGGGCTTTTGTGTATTAGATGTGATAAAGCAGGTAAAGTGCTTAGCGGTGATTAAAAAGGCCAGTTGTTACTGTTATTCACGTTACCTTATTAGTCTTCCTGTGAACTTGCAGCCCTGAAAGGAATGGTCATCTCCGGAACAGATCCTCCCTGCATCCTCCCTGATTGCTCTGGAAAGGGAAGCAGGATTAACCCAACAGGGGTTTGGATCCGGCTCTGAGTGCCTCTTCCCTCTAACCTCTTTGCCCACTCCAGTGGCCCATCATTTTCAAATGACTTTCAAAAGTAGCCCTCAGGGATAAAAGAAATGACTGAGGTGCTTACTCTTGAAGGGCAGTGTGGAATTCAGATGCCACCTCAGCCAGGAAGCCCACCCTGATCTGCACAGATAGATAATCATCACCTCCAACCATAACATTTCATCTGTACTTGTCTTGTTATAAACCTGATTTCCCATTATGTTACACCTACTTATATATACATTTTTTCTTTTCTGTGGGACTGTAGCCTCACCGCTTGTCTGCTTCTCAAGGGCACGCAGCAGTCGGAGATGATCTTAGGGTGATAGGGTCTGCCTTGGGTCCCCTCCACCCTCTGTCTACATGTGTGCCCTGGTCCTCCTGTAACATCACCTGGCATTGAACTAGTCACGTTTTGAGGACCCGCTCGAGCTGACGCTGTGCTAAGCACTGGGGACCTAAAAACACCATTTCTGCCCTTTAGGGGTCCCCTGCCTGGCCCGAGAGAGCCAGGATTAACCGCAGTCCAGTTAGGTGTAACCTGGGACCCCAGAGCTGGCTTTCCTGCTCCCGGCTGGGGAACCTTGGTCAATCACTGAGCCTCCCTCATCCTTACTTTTCTCGTGTGTTAATCGGTGATGACAGCACGTGCCCCTCGTCCAAGGATGTGGGAGGATCAATTATACGAGACATGTAGGCACAGTGCCGAGACACCACTGGCTAGGTCCTGTTTGTTTCCTTCCCTCTCTCTCCTCCTCCTCTCCCTCCTCCCTCTCGTCCTCTCCCCTCCCTCCCCCTCTACTCCTCCCCCTCTCCCCTCCCTTCTCTTCTTGTTCT